GAATTTGAAGTATTGAGTATATTTACTATACATTGCAATAATTTACTCTGTATTTACCAGACTATGGTAATCCTGGGGTCGTGATGATGGGGCCCTTGAAAATTGTTGCCCAGGGTACAGCGAAGTGTTAATCCGGCCCTGTTTGAAACACAAAACTACATGATTAAATTTACCTAAAGACAAGGAGTCAAACCTATTGGACAACAGAAAACAATGTTCCATTAAATGAGGCCAAGTTGGATTTGTTGGTAATAAGAGTTCAGGTGGGTGGTTCGGGTCCTGCCAAGCTTAAACCACGGAAGACAGGAACTAGAGAGACTGGAACCAAAGGCTTGGAAGGAACTGCAGGAGGGTCAGATGGTGAACTCAAAGGTTATTGGCCAAGAGACAGAAATGGACTGAAGGAATTGATTGCAGCCCAGGAACCAGTGGAATGAGGAGACACGAGAACAGATGGAACCAGGAGACAGCAAAGCAGGAACCAAAGGATTCTGTGAGGCTGAAGGCTCAGATAGGGCTGATGCAGACCAGAGACTCTGAGATTCAGGAGCCGGGAAGACTGGAGGCTCTGGAGCCGAAGACACTGAGGAAAATGTAAGTGGACCAGGAGAAGTAAAGGAACCAGAAGTGGAAGATCTGGCCCAGGAGACTTAGAAATGGGATGCTCTGGAGACATTGCCTCCCTCAGTCCCCTCATCACTCTATTGAATCAATCACTTATATTAGACTACATCCCCCCCCCCCCCCCACACACACACACACACCTTGAAATCTGCCAGAACCAAAACCCTCCTTAAAAAACACACCCTGGACCCCCAAGACCTGGCAAACTATGGATTTATTTCCAAACTTCCCTTTCTTGCCAAAGTCCTGGAGAAATTAGTTTCTGTTTATATTCAAGAACACCTGCAAGACAACAGCATTCTGGATAAATTTCGGTCTGGTTTCCGTACTGCTCATAGTACAGAAACATTTTTGCTTTGGGTGACTAATGATCTGCTGATCAGTTCTGATGGTGGCTCATCGTCACTTCTTATTCTTCTAGACTTTTCAGCAGCTTTTGACAGGATGGATCACCACATCCTTCTCCATCATCTAGAGAGCCTTGCAGGACTTACTGGCACTGCGTTGGAGTGGTTTCGATCAGATTTAATGAACAGATCTGAATTTGTCTCCACTGGGCATGCCAGATCACTGACCCACTTTGTTTCCTGTGGTGTGGAACCATGGAAGACTCAGGAACTGGGGAGACTGGAACCGAAGACTTGGAAGGGACTGTAGGGTTCTGGGACCCCTTCATTTACAGGGGTTGGACAATGACACAAAAACACCTGTCATTTTAGTGTGGGCGGTTTCATGGCTAAATTGGACCAGCCTGGTGGCCAGTCTTCATTAATTGCACATTGCACCAGTAAGAGCAGAGTGTGAAGGTTCAATTAGCAGGGTAAGAGCGCAGTTTTGCTCAACATGTTGCAATGCACACAACATTATGGTAACATACCAGAGTTCAAAAGAGGACAAATTATTGGTGCACATCTTTCTGGTGCATCTGTGACCAAGACAGCAAGTCTTTGTGATGTATCAAGAGCCACAGTATCCAGGGTAAAGTCAGCATACCATCAGGAAGGACAAACCACATCCAACAGGATTAACTGTGGACGCAAGTCTGTCTGAAAGGGATGTTCGGGTGCTAAACCGGATTGTATCCAAAAAACATAAAACACCACTGCCCAAATCACGGCAGAATTAAATGTGCACCTCAACTTTCCTGTTTCCACCAGAACTGTCCGTCAGGAGCTCCACAGGGTCAATATACACAGCCGGGCTGCTATAGCCAAACCTTTGGTCACTTGTGCCAAACGTTGGTTTCAATGGTGCAAGGAGCGCAAATCTTGGGCTGTGGACAATGTGAAACATGTATTGTTCCCTGATGAGTCCACCTTTACTGTTTTCCCCACATCCAGGAGAGTCACTGTGTTGAGAAGCCCCAAAGAAGCCTATCATGCAGACTGTTGCATGCCCAGAGTGAAGCATGGGGGTGGATCAGTGATGGTTTGGGCTGCCATATCATGGCATTCCCTTGGCCCAATACTTGTGCTAGATGGGCGCGTCACTGCCAAGGACCACTGAACCATTCTGGAGGACCATGTGCATCCAATGATTCAAACATTGTATCCTGAAGGCGGTGCCATGGATCAGGATGACAATGCACCAACACACACAGCAAGACTGGTGAAAGATTGGTTTGATGAACATGAAAGTAAGTTGAACATCTCCCGTGGCCTGCACAGTCACCAGATTTAAATATTACTGAGCCACTTTGGGGTGTTTTTGAGAAGCGAGTCAGGAAACATTTTCCTCCACCAGCATCACGTAGTGACCTGGCCACTATCCAGCAAGAAGAATGGCTTAAAATCCCTCTGACCACTGTGCAGGACTTGTATATGTTATTCCCAAGATGAATTGACACTGTATTGCTGCCCAACCCTGGTCCTCAAGATCCCTTATCCAGCATGTTTTACTTGTTTCCCTGCTCTTCAGCAGGTCTTCAGAAGATTGTTATTCACTCAGTCATTCAAACCAGGTGTGTCAGACCAGGGAAACATCTAAAAATTACTCTTTAAATGTTGAACAACAGCTCAAGAGCTTCTCTGAGCTTGATGAGACATTTTCAAAATGTAATATTGACTCAGTTTTATGTCTTTTAGTGTTGCCTCTGGAAGCCATTGATTCTCTGCCATTTATTTATAAATAATAAATCAGATAACATGTGTAAAAACAGTGATTCTCAACCCTGGTCCTCAAGGACTCCTGTCCTGCATGTTTAGATGTTTCCCTGATTTCATATACATGGTTTGAATGAGTAAGTGATTAACAATCTTCTGAAGACCTGCTGAATAGCAGGGAAACAAGTAAAACATGCTGGATAGGGGATCTTAAGGTCCAGGGTTGGGCAGCCATTCAATTATTGTGGTCTAAAACCAGGTGTTTCAGTGTCATTGTCCAATCCCTGTAATTTTAAATATTATATGGTACCACTGGTGCATTATCAGTAGCTGTGAGGTATCATTTCATTGCTAAGCTGATAATATTCAGCTGTATCTGAAGCTGGGTAGCAATGCATGTGAGACCCCACTCCTCTCTTTCTACACTTACAGTCTGGACATAAAATTTTGACTTTCAGAACATTCCACTTTCTAAAACAGTCACCAATCTTGGTGTTATCGTTGACCCAAAGCTTGCTTTTAAAAGCCATATTGAGCAAATTTGCTAAATTTCATTCTTTCACCTCTGAAATATTGCAAAACTTCAGTCTACGCTTTCCTTCACTGATGCAAAAACTTGTCTGTGCTTTTGTCTCCTCCAGACTTGATTATTGCAATGCCCTCCTCGTTGGAACTCCTGTGAGGAACTTGAACCTCTGTTCTTTGTTCCCTTCACTGGCTACCTGTTTCTGCTTAACTACAAAATCTCCCTTCTCACTTTTCATTGTCTGCACGGAAATGCACCATCTTACTTACATGAGCTCCTCATGCTCCACTGTTCAGGAGTGAGACAGAACAGAAGAAACAGGGAAAATAAAGCACACAAAGACATAGACTATTACAATTGCACACTATTATCACTACTAGTTTACCTTTGTGACATTATCTCTGTTTGCCAAAGTTCAGATCATCATCAGTCTGTGTGTTTTCAGCAGATCTGCCATTTGCTTTTTATCCTGCATCATCAGATCAGTTTTCATCTGTTTAGTTCCTGGTTCTGCCACATCCACTCTCACATGAGCTCTGCTTCTTTTAGCCCAGGAGTTCCATTTATCCTCATTTGCCTTTGTTTTTTATTTGGTGCTTCCTCAGTTCTTTAAGTTGCTGCGAGCTTTTAGTTTTTTTAAAAAAATGTTTGTTTTAACTAGAGCTCTTTGTATCCAGTCTGCAACCTTGAATCCAAAACATATTGAAATATGACAGTGAGTCATAATATTTACTACTTTCACCTTCTAATACCGTTATCCTTCATTTTGGGTTGTACTTTCTCCTGTCCACTGTCAACCATGTTCTTGCTCAGGATGGGAGATTGTGAAGTTGAGATTCAACACAATCTGCTGGCTTCTTTATGTTGATGGTTTTTGTACAGCGCAGTGAGATGAGTGTGACTTGGTGTTATGAAAATAAACTGAATTGAATTAAATTGAATTAAGTAAAACTATAGATAGAACGTAAGCTTCATGGTTCATTAGGACTAGTTTAATATTTGTAGCTTTCAAATAATAAAGATAGATAGATAGATAGATAGATAGATAGATAGATAGATAGATAGATAGATAGATAGATAGATAGATAGATAGATAGATAGATAGATAGAATAATGAGGCCTTTATTTCATGTAATATGTGAGAAATATGAGGCTAAACTAAATCAGCCTCTCACTCCCACAGTATTAAATCCCACACTTGATCTGGTGTTTGTAGTTACATCATTTTAGAAACAGGCCTGCCTCCTCCACATGTACTGTCCCTCATCCTGTAGGAGGCGGTGATGGCCTCTGGGCAGACACACACACTGACTTCTGCGACACACCCATCCCGGCTCCCAGCAGCACAGCAGCAGCTTGCATCATTCGCTTCAACAAACAGGATCACTGTGGACAACATGGGTAACGTGCAGGTATGAAATTTCATTTTACCCAACTTTGGATGCTGACTAAATTCATAATGTTCATTTTACATGTGTCTTTTGAAGGCATTAAAGTTTACAGTAATGTACAAGGTGGATAAAAGAATTGAGAAAACAGAATCAGAACAAGGCAGATGTTAAATTTATCTGAGGACCACTTAAAAAGCAGCTTTCATTGCTTACTAAAAGTGTTTTTCTGCCTGTAAAGCGGGTGAGTTATAGTGTCGCAGTTATAGGAGCTGCTGTGCTAAGGATCAATAAGGCTGTGTTTGGATTAAAGTGAGGGTGGGTGAGAGAGGAGGCTGCTGCTGCTCCGTGACTCAGCAGTTGGATTTCCTGGATGTAACACCAAAGCAAATCCTCTCAAAACCTTGGCCTTTTCTGTTGGTGTAATTCATATAGCTTTGTTTAATTACTGATTAAAAAATTTTAAACGGCATTTAAACAAAAATTACAAGAAGTAAATTTTTTTGCTTGTTTTCTGCTTTATTCTCCAGCCCACCATAGTACCATTTGAGGACTTTGATGTTACAGCTGATATAAAAGTTATAAGACAAGCATGTAAAGGTTTAGGTAAGTTTGCATTGTGCATTTCTTCCCTTATATGGGATTCAATTTGTACCAATCAAACATCTTTCTCTGATACAGAGCTTCTGAGCTGTTCTGAACTATCACACATTAATGAGATTCATATCAAATTGTGTTGATGATTATTTCTGCTGTGACACCTTTTTTAACCAAATAAACTTACGATAGAAGGTTGTGAGTATTGTATTTGATTCTTGACTCTCCTGTCTCTCTGTGTCGGTAATGATCATGTGTTTCAGGCACAGATGAAGAGGCCATTATACAAATCCTGGCCAATCGCTCTGCAGCCCAGCGTGGGGAAATTAAACAGGCCTACTTTGAAAAGTATGACGATGTGAGTACTCGTTGCCACACTTCTCTCTCTCTCTCTCTCTCTCTCTCTCTCTCTCGCTCTCTCTCTCACACTCTCTTGCTCTCTCTCTCTCTCTCTCTCTCTCTCGCTCTCTCTCTCACGTTTGCACAACTATCCATTTGGGGACATTCCATTGACTTCCATTACATTTCTACAGCCTAACCCTGACCACAAACCCTAAGGCTAACCTCACAGGTACCTACCTGACCCTAAAACTAACCTAAACTCAATTCACACCTTGGTCCTAACCCCCAACCCACCAATGGCATTTAAACCAAATGGGGCCTTGACTTTTGACCCCAAATCCACCAGTTGTCCCCAAAGGTAGGCATTTTTGTCTTAAAATTGCCCCCAAATGTCACCAAAGCCGAACCCACACACACAGACACACACACACGTTTGTTTCTTGACCCCGTGGGGACCTTCCATTGACTTCCATTCATGTTTTTTAGACTTTATAGCCTAACCCTGACCATATACTCTAAAATTAACCTCACAGGTACCTACATGACCCTAAAACTAACCTAAACCTTGGTCCTAGACCTAACCCCACACCCGTAATTTGCATTTGGACCCAGGTCCCCACGATTCACTTCGGTCCCCACGAGGCAGCTTTTTTTTTAGGAAAATTGTCCACACGTTGTAGGAAAAACCTACACACACACACACACACACACACACACACACACACACACACA